AATTTCCGATGTGCACTTTGTTTTTCCTCTACAGATCACTGATTCTTCAAAACAACATCTGTAATGTCTGTTTTATATTCTGTACATAACAGATACATAACAAATTGCTTGGTTACAAAGGTTAATATGATCATAATATCTAGGAAAGTCCAGCTCTGCCCTGTTTCTTCTAGGACCCAGGCCCAAGAAGGTTGACCCACAAGGAAGCAGATATGAAGTCCTCAGTTGAGCTTCACCCTCACCTTCACCCATCTTCTCCACTGCTTGTACCCTGCTGGCCCCAGCTTTACCTTTCTGGCCTCACATCTGCCCCATCCCATGGTCAAATCTGCTGATCTGCTTCTTTACCTGATTCCTCTACCATCACTTTATTCCCCAGTCCATGGCCTATGTTCTTCCAAACACTGCATTTGTTCACACAGACTTTTCAGAACCTTCCTTATAAGCTACATACCAGGTACTAATTCCAGCCCCAGCCGTCAGATTCTATACAAACAGTCATCTTAAAAGTTATGGGATGGGGTGGAGAGGGAGGTGGGAGGGGGGACTGGGATGGGGAATACATGTAAATCCATGGCTAATTCAATGTATGACAAAAACCACTGCAATGCTGTAAAGTAATTAGCCTCCAACTAATAATAAAAATCATTAAATCAAATAATTGAATTCCAAAATTAATAGTTTAGCAGAATGTTTAAATAGACAGAATAGTCAGCCTGCCAACTTTTCAGAAAGTGGTCACAAAGTGAACCTCAGGCATTTCACTCTTCTGTGAATGAGTTTATCAGTTCTTTTTCTGAAAGTAGGTATTGACAGACGTGGACATGAAACTACATAAAAAGAAGAGTCTGGAACCAAATAGAGAACAATCTTTAGCTACTTCACAGTTCTACCTGACACCAGTCCTATTTAAAAGGAGATAGTGTGTTCCTCTATTCATCTGAATAAAAGTGTTCAAATCATTTGGAAAGCACATTTCTACTATTTACAATTTAGATATGTTGGACTGAAATTTAAAATTAATCCTTTCAGCTGCCATATTCCATGAGCTAAAAAACAACTTGTGTAATATCTCAGTGTAAAATAACGTAACCTCGAGGTCTGTTTAATTCTGCTTTTTTGAGTAATATGTTCAAACATTCCTATTAATGAAGAATTTTAAACAAGCTTAACTGAAAGATTTTTAATAAGATTTGGGGGATGAAATCACCAAGTTACCTGTTTTTCCTCTAGTCTCTTTTAAGACTTCTCAATTTTATAATTTTTACATGAATTATCTTTCTACTCTGCCATGAATCAGATGGACAGTATAACTTTTTGATGCCATCAATCTAACTTTCACAAGTGTTGGTATTCTTGAATGGGACACAATTTTTTATGTATTGATGTTATTCACGTATTTGTATTTTGTTAACGTATTCCTATATTTCTTCAACTGCTGATTTCAAAATTGGAATTCTCCATTCCCAGCATATTTAGCCACAATTCCCAGCATATTTAGCCACTGTTAGTTTTAACTTTGAAACTGCCATTTTTGGTGGCCAAAATGGTTCAGTCTAATACTAAATTTGGAATTAAGGTAAAAGATAAAACAAGTACTGCCAATTAGTAGTTTTACTTCTGCCTCTCATTGGAATGATTCTCAGACACTTTCCTTTCTACTATGAACTAAAGTATAATTTTTGTCCTGGATATTTTTCATAATTTTGAAAACATAAACCTGAATCTGACTCTAAGACTATCTTTCTGCTGTTTTGACTCAGCTGTTCTTGAAGAGCCACCCATTCCAACTTTGAGGGAACCACAGGCTTAAATGCAATGTCAATGCAGATTTTCAAAGGTAGGATGGAAGTAAGGGTATTTTATGTTCTTCTCAACAGTCTTCAAATTCTACTTCAAGTGGCTTCAAGGATTATTATATAGAAGGTTCTTATAATTCTCTTGCAATGTGGTATTGTGCCCTAAAGAACCCAGAAATACTCAGAAACTGCAAACATGAAGAATTGATAGCATAAAAAGAATTTTAAATGGAAAATAAATCTTTCATAAAGATATTTACTTTTTGAACATCTGGATATCAAAAAGATTGCACAGAAATTCCAGGAAAGGGTTATTTTTCATTTGACAATATTAAAATGATATTATCTATAATAACTTACTATGAAATATTTTTTGTAACCAATGCTTTTAACTTATATTTTCCAACTTGGATTACATATGTGTATTTTACATCCAAGAAGGCTAATTCCTTCCTGGGTCTCACCAATATAAAATATAAATCTCACCAATATAAAATACTTTGTCTTCTGTGTTCCCTGCTATTACCATCATCTGACCTTCCTGCTATCTTATTCTGTTGGTTTTGATACATACATACATCTCATCTACTATCTGAACACTCCTTGAGGAGAGAGAATATGTCTTAAATATCTCTCTCTGTTTCTCCCTCAAAAGCTTATATACTGGAAATATCCTTGCACACCAGAGCTCCCATCTCTCATCCAACTATTTTTCCCCTTAGACCAATTAGTTACTCTGATCAGCATCTTTCCTATTCCATCTTTCCTGCTGCTTCTAGAGAGGCAAGCACTAAACAACATACAGTGGTCTAGACACAAACACACCCTAGTTTTTACTTCAGAGCTGCAACTCAGGTGGTAAGCAGATTCATGTGCTTACAGCTTCTGTGTTCTGTGTAATCCCAGAATGTATGTAGGTACTACATGAAAAATTAAATCAGGTATTAGCTTGAAAGATCTAATGGCCATCTCAAATGTTTCAGGTCTCAAGTTTAACCATATTAAATATTCTTGTATTACTAATCATTCAGAACTGTTAATAAGATCCAGGCACAGATTGAGTCACTTCACTAGAGAAACCCACTCTCAGTAAGTCCAGAAAATTCAAAAATTTTTTATATAAAATCCAAAGCAATCTCCAGGAGATTTCAAATAAGCACACAAATACTTTCTGCCTTATTTTCTAATGATTAATATTACACTCAAGTAGTACATGGACAGATTTTCAAGGCTAAAATCTAAGGCAAATGCCCAGATAATTAAAGTGAAATATCACAGTACTCATCTAAGTAGCTCACCTAAGTAACTGAAGTAATTTAGCTATTATTAACATGTGGAATCAAGGGCCTAGGGTTAAATTCCTGGTCCTGTCACTACCTTCCACTGAGAGGACTTGGAATGGTCATTTAATCTCTCCAAGTGTGTTTTCTCATATCTTGAGTGAAGAAACTGTCCACCTACCTGAGAGAGACACTTTGAAAATTAAGTCAGAACACAATTTCTCAACTTTGGCGCTACTGACATTTTGGACCCGATATCTCCTGTTGCAAATCTGTGCACTGTAGGATGTTCAGCCACATGTCTGGTCTCTACCAACCAGATACCAGTAGAATACACACATACCCCAGTAAGAATAATCAGAAGTGTCTTCAGACATTGCCAAAACTCCATTGTGGGGAGGGAGTCAAAAACCACCCCCACACTCAGCTAAGACTGACTCAATTAAATGGTTTATATAAAAGCCTTCATTTATACATGGAATACATATAGACCTATTATGTGCCAGACACTGTGTCCAAGTCAAATAAGATGTGATTCAAGCCCTCTAATAGTTTATAGTCTAGTAAAGGAGACAGATAAATAAACCAACGTTTGTAGTGATGGCAGTTTGGGAGCCTATGGAGGAACAGGGAACAAAACATTTCGATGTTAAAGAGTAGAAGCCACAGGAATTAGTAGCTAAATGGATGTGGGGGAAAAACAAAATGTTAAAAATAGCTAATTATTATTTAACATAAGTCAAAGAGTTTTTCCAAAAAAACAGGAATATTTCCCAGAAGAAAACTCACTCCATGTAAGTGGTCACAAAATAAATATTGACTTCACTGTAAGGGCTTTAATTTTAACTAGTGGGGGATCCCACATAGAAGAAGTACTCCCTTTCATCCATCGAATTTGCACTCCTATCACCAGAATTATCAAGACCAACAGGGGTGTCTAATTCCTGTATTGTAATTGGAGTATTAAGTCCGCAAAAAAAAAAAGGCAGTAGCATGATAAGGAACAATATGCATAGTTTATGGTTTCTCTATTTCATTCACTGAAGAACACATAATTTTAACATTTTCTAACAGTTTTATTCTATAGTGAACTTTAAGCTCAAGTCAAATGCATCTGTACCAATGCCACCAAAAAAAAAAAAAAAAAACCTGCATCAGAGTGAAAAACCAACTTTCTCCCATAACAGAAGAGATGTGCAACTTTTCAGTACATTATCTTCATGTGAGGTCCACACAGAGGTGACTATTAGCTCCCCCTTGCTGACAACATCTATCCATTATCTCATGGCAGTTTCTAGCTTGTGTGGCACCAGAAAAGTGTAGCTTAAAGACACAGAACACAGTATTCATTAGAGGAAAGCTAGTTAGAGGCTGCTAATGGGACCCTTTGGCTTCTGGTCCTGCCGTGATTTCTGAATGAGATCCAAGTGCCTAACCATGTCAATTTCAGATGAAATTCTCTTTGCAATTGTGTGTTACCCAATACCCCAAAACATATGAAAGCCTTCCTGGTTTTTAGAGTTTATAACCCCCCTGACAATGAAGTTCTGTGTGGAAATATCAAAATTCAAGTAACAAAGACAATTTTTAGAGGATCAAAAATAGAAACCATTATTAGAATATAAAAACATTTGTTACTTTAGAATCCACATTTCTAAGAAAAGCAGCCTTATTAAATGACATTTGCTCAATAGGCAATTTTCCTCCATTTAATTTTCATAAATAGATCACTTTGAAATGTATTTCCCCTAACAAAGACTGCACATTAACAACAAATGATACAATATCTTTAAATTTTAATTAATGTCAAGAGCTTTATTTTGCTTCTAAGCAACTTAGAGAAACATGTTATTAATATAATTTAATTTAAGGGGGTAGGCATTTGTTTTCTATTTTTAAAAGGGTAGTTCTGAAATTCTGGCCCTGTCAACATCATTTAAACATTCCTGTTCCATGCCTCAATATAATAAACTAAATCAGCATTTTAATTGTGCCCATGCTTTGTGATTTCTGGCAGCACAAAAAGATTCTCTGTGAGCATGATGTCCCCCCAAAAACCCCACTGAGTGATTAATTACTAGTCTGGAATATATAAATACGTCTCTCAATAAAGACAGTATGGACTGCTGGAAGCTCTGACATTATACATCTCTGTAGGATGCCTTAACTTAGCAGACATACTCCTAATTCAAACAAGACTCTGGCTCTAGCATTCACTGACAGTTCTACTATAATACACTGTTTCTCTGTTGAACAGGATGTTTATTTTAATTAGCATCATTTGGTACATTTACAAGAATCAGAGGGAAACTGGGATTTTTATGCATAAATATGTAACAACCTCAAGATATATATGGTCCTTAGGTAAGGAAGAACTGAGAACAACAAAAAATAACCTTGAATTTTTATAAAGCATCATCTTTAGTATTTCCCCTTTAATGTTACACCCTGACATTACTCATGTTTCATTCTGAGTTAAAGGTTTGACCAAGAAACCATAACTTTATAAACAAAGACATGAACCAGTAGGTCTATCTGGCTCTGTCTAAACCTCACATATAACTGTCTGGATTGAGAAGCTATCGTGGTCAATTTAGGGGAGAGAAGCTTATTAGAGAAAGGACTTATTTGCCACCTCCCCCTACCTCCGCATAGTAAAAACAAGAATTGACAAAATTTCTAGAACTGCTTCTACAAAACCAAAATAAAGTAAGAGGAATTACACCAATTACTGAAATCAGAAACTGCAAAGTCAACTAAGTTGAAAATAAAGAAATCAAGACTTGAAGCTGGCTCTTTTAAATTGGAGAACTGTCATGTGTAGCTTTTTTAATGCTCTGCATTCATGACCATGGCATTTATTAACAGAACTAAACACCACATCTCCTTCACCCTTTCAGTATGTAGTGCTTTTTTTCCCAAAGAAGTGGGAAGGCAAGATAACCATACATCACCCTGGCCAGCCTAGCAATCCAGACATCATGTTCCTAACTGACCTATTTAAAGCAAGTTGAAAGAAAGGTTTCCTAAAAAGTCAATACATATTTGGCTGAGGAAAAAGCCATTTGTATTCAGACTTTTACCCTGCTGCTATTTATATTGGTATTTCTACTAGGCTTTGTCAAAGATAGATTTTGAGCATGGTCATCACACTTAACTGCAAGGGTTAAATCACTCAGCAAACGTGAGTCTGAACTGGACTCCTGGAGTAGACTACAAGAGTCACACTATTTCAACACCTTCCAACAAGAGGTATAGAACCCTTGAATCTTGGCTGGTCTTATAGCTGTGACCATGAGAATACACATAAATGACACTACACTCATTCTGAGCCTAGGCCTCAAGAGACATCCCAGCTTCCATTCTCAAACTCTTGGAATTCTGTGTCCACCATGGAAATAAACTCAGGCTAACCTGTTAGAGGTTGCAAGTCCATGTGGGAAATGGCCCCAGTCATCCCAGTTGTCCCGGATGTGATCTTGTGGATCATAAATCAATCAGCCCTGGCAATCTGCCAGCTGACTGTCAATACATAAGTAAGGAGCTCAGCCAAGGTTAGTCAAGTTTAGCCCACATCAGATGAACTGCCCACTAAGCCCAACCAACAATGTCAACCTGCAATAAAATATTGAGCTAAATTAAACAGGTACTTTCTTAGCCACTAAGATTTGAGGTGGTTTTTATGCAGAAATAGATAACTGCTACAGATTCTACAACCTCATAACTGTGTCTTTCCCAGGCTTTAAGTCTCAATTCAAGTATTCTACTATGCTCATGGCCTTTAACAGGTACTAATGTTATGTACTCTGTTGACCTTTGACTTTTGATATTACTTCTTTCTGTAAAAAAAAAAAAAAGAAATTAGCACTTAAGCTAAATAATGCTGTGTAGTTTTCTCAGAGTGTTGCTAAATATTCGTGATTCACATACAAATGCTCTCTAGAATCCATAGTTTGTATTTTTCATTATCTAACACACAAAACACATAGGCGTTTCATAAATACTTGATTTGATTCAAAAGGAAAGTAGCTGGAATTTACAACAGATCTTTAAACTGTTTCTGCTTTGCTTTTCTAACTTGTGGTGTGTGATTAATATTAGCCTGTTTCACCACAAAGGAGACTGAGTTTACACCTTCATATCCCTTTACAAATACAACATATCGTTAAGTGTCACAGTAAGAAAACAAGAATGATATAAAATTTAAAACTTCTATATATAGTACTTCTATATATAGCAAAAGATACAAAGAACACCATTTTGAAAAGGTAACTAGGAGAAAATGGTTATGGTATATCCAACAAAGAGCTAAAAAGCAATAGCATACAAAGAGTTCCTATAAAACCATTTTAAAAAAGACAACCCACAATAAAACTGAGAAAAATACACTGACAGTATTCATAAGTACAAATTAAAAACATGCAAAGGTGGCTAGTCTCACATGTAATCAGAAAAAAGTATGTTTAAATAAGGATTTTACCCAGATTATTAAAAATTTTAAAGATTAAATAAAGTCCAATATTGATCACTGTGTACAGAAATAGCTTTCTTTCACAGTAGTGTAGCATGGCTTTTAGAATGTTAATTGGGCACATGCCTTTTAACCCAAAAATATTCACTGAAACCTTGTTTTTAATATAAAAAAACTGAAAAACTAAGTATTCATCAATACTCTCAGGTAAACACTGACTCACCCACCTGCAGAAAACTATGCAAAAATTTAGAAGAATGTGATAGATTTGTATATGCGGACATGAAAAGATCAAGAAATGTTAAATTTAAAAGGCAGGTTGCCAAAGAAGACTATAACACCATTTTTTATTAAGTATATAACTGCACAGAAAAAAGGCTAGAATGATATTTTTAAAAGGCTAGAATAAAATTTTTTAAAAAGGCTAGAATGATATACACTAAAATAATAGCCATGCTCAGTTAACAGGGGGAGAACAGCTGAGAGAATGAAGGAAAACAGTAAGTTTTTACATATTTATGTATCCCTTGAATGTCCCACAAGCATAGATATATGTGATGTGCATACAATTTGTGTATACTACACATACTTGATCAGGAGAAAGGGGCAGAGCGCAGACTCATTCAATCAAGGAGTCAAAGAAAGAGCTGTACCTTCACAGAGGAAATCCCCACTCACGTCCTGGTTCACAGCCACGGCATGGTCAGCACCGACACAGATGAGAGCCAGGACTGGCATCGGGTGCCCCTGTAGCATGATTTCCTCAGTGGCAGAGGAGAGGAGGCACTGAGCAGCGAGCTGTGCCAGGGACACCATGTTTGGCATTTTAAGACTACTGTGGGGGCATCCTCCTGGAATCTGGAATTTAAAAAAAAAAAAACAAGAAGAAAGTTAAACTTGAAAATCAACACAGAAAGGATCAGAGGAGAGAGATGAGAGGCTGCCTAAAATAGCAACAAAGTTCGCAGTTACCAATCTCGAAGCAATCTCCTAGGCCAGCCACCAGGTACTTTCACACATCATATCTCACTTAATTTTGACAAGAACCCTCGGTTGTCTTTATTTTATTGAAGGGAAAATGAACTTAGAGAAGTTAAGGAAATTAGCAAGGATCACATAGACCATATGCACATGGTAGTGCCAAGGATTTGAGTTCAGCCCTGTTTAATCCAACACCTAAGTTTTTAACTATCATGAATGGTATGCCGTCTCCTGTCACAGAAGCAGAAAGTCTTCAGAGTCAGCAATACCGGATGATATTCTTGCTTATGTGCTAATATAGCTAAGGATATAACCGGTAAAGTAAAACAAGTATAGCTTAGCCATGGAAGCACAGAACAAAGGTTTCAGACAAGCACATGATGATAGTGCCTATTCAAAGAGTCAACAAGGACCTTGGTCCAGGGATCCATTTGGTTCCACCAATAGGCCAACAGGACCACATACTATATGGACAAACTAAAATTTCTCAGTCTTCCAGCATAAAGGCCAGTGCCTAGACTGTGGATTCACCAAGGCAATGTCACTCCAGAATGCCTTTTAGAAAACGAACAGCTCCTCCATGGGCCCTAAGTGAGTTTCTTTTCTATTAGGAACTTCTATGGTCTTTCAGGTATATTTCCACTCCTTTTGGATATTTTAAGCCTATTTTGAATTCAAACAATCTAAGTGAATGACACAATCCATTGCTGAAGAATATATATATCACATATACATCATAAACCTAGGCCACCTGGCTTCTCACCACAGACCTGGCATTAACACATACAGATTTCGGTCAAGTAGGGGTGCAAGAAAGGAGTTGCAGGGAAGGATGCTGTGTCCTTAAGCTTGAGAAAGAGACTTATGTAAGAATTCTGGAAGGACCCACTAATATCTTGAAAATTCATGTACACTTTTACCTATTTTGTATATTAGAGGTCTACATGAGATTTTTTTCAAGAATGGATTCCACTGCTTTAAACAAAAAAGGCTTGGACACCAATGAGATAGAAGGGAGGGATGGCTGATGTTCGGTTCAGTCATATAATGACTGTTGTTTCTTTGGAAATTAATTCTCAGGCATTTGTGACTATTGCTGATTGAGATGTGGTTGGGAATGGATTCCAAGCAGTTCTCCAGAGCGGCTCTACCAGTGCTCTTTTTGATTTACAGCCATAAAAGAGCCATCATAATTAAACCTTCACCCCAACCTTCAATCCTAAATAGATGTAGGTTTTTTAAGCACTATGTTGGGCACAAAAGGAATGCAGAGTTTTCTGGAAAGTGCTAAGCAATCCCTTCAGGAGGCAAAGAGAATAATCAGCATAGGCTCCAGACCTCAGGGGTTGAATTTAAACCCCAGCTGCTGCTGCTAAGTCGCTTCAGTCGTGTCCGACTCTGTGCAACCCCATAGACGGCAGCCCACCAGGCTCCCCCGCCCCTGGGATTCTCCAGGCAAGAACACTACAGTGGGTTGCCATTTCCTTCTCCAATGCATGAAAGTGAAAAGTAAAAGTGAAGTCACTCAGTTGTGTCCGACTCTTAGTGACCCCATGGACTGCAGCCTACCAGGCTCCTCCATCCATAGGATTTTCCAGGCAAGAGTACTGGAGTGGGTTGCCATTGCCTTCTCCATTAAACCCCAGAGCTACTCCTTAATAGCCATGTAGTCTAGGGGAGGTTGTGTAATCTCTCCAAGCATCAGAATTTTTATATGTAAGATGTAAACTACAAACTACATTGGAGTATTATAAGGATTAAATGCCAATAAAGTGCTTTGTACTGAGGCTCAGATCAAATCTCCTCAAATGTTAGTTTATATATTGTCTCATTGGAAACAAAGATTTGAAGATTAAATCAAGATTAATTTGGAGAACAGAAAGCAGTACAACACAGGGAGGCCATGAATTGAACAGTAAATAGGGAACATGAAGAGGGAAGAAGGGAAACTAAAGATTTCATGATCTGCTGAGATTTGGGCTTCAGTCTATAGGGTGTGGGGATCCACTGAAAGTTGTTTAGTAATTCACTTGTTCAGAAAAATACATGCTAAGTGCTTACTCTGTGCCAATCACCATTTTAGTGAAGGAAATAAGAAGGTAACTAAGGTGGGATTTCTGCCCTCGAACATGTCCATTTTTTAGGAGACACAGACTTATAATACTAAGAGATGGGAGTTATAATAAAAGTATATACCAAGTGCTATGGAAAAGAGAGGGTGAAGTTTAGATGACTAAGTTTGGCAGAGAAGGGGAGATCTTCCTAAAAGTATAAGCAGCAGGTCAGAATGTGAATTGATTAAAAAATGAAGAGAGGTTTATCACAAATATAAGAGGATGAAGTATAACCACCCACTGAGAAAGCATAGAATAGCTGGAATTCAAACATTTGCACCTCCAGGCATCAGGCTGAACCTAAAGCAAAGGACCCTAAAAATCTGCTTCCTCATAGTCCACAGGCCTCTCAAAGATATAGGAAAAACACTTTCAAATACTTAGGGAGTCATCTCAGAAAGAAGTTTACTCCTCTGAAGCTAATCACTGCTTGAATCTTAAGAGCAACTGTGGAGAGGATGTCAATGAAACTTTTCTCTTGTACACAATCACTGCCAGTTGAGGATGGGATGAAGAAGAAAGAAACAAGAGAATGATTACACAAATTTCAAGCAGTTTAATGTTGAAGGGGTGATAAACTGGATAATACCTCCCCCTGACAAAGATATCCATGCCTTAATTCCTGGAACCTGTGACTATGTTACCTTACCTGCTAATGAGAACTTTTCACGTGTGATTAGGGCTCTAGAGAAAGAAATAGGGTGATAGAAGCTCAGGTTGGAGTGATGTACCTTGTAGACAGAAGTGGCCATGAGCCAAGAAAGGTAGTCTTTTCCTATAATCTGGAAAAGACAAGGAAACAGATTATCCCCCTGGAGCCTCCAGAGGGAACATAGCTCCATCAACACCTTTAGATCCATGAGACTCATTTTAGACTTTTGACTTCCTGAATTGGAAGAGAATAAATGTGTTTTCTTTTTGAGCCACTAAGTGCCAATACTTTGGCCACCTCATGCGAACAGTTGACTCACTGGAAAAGACCCTGATGCTAAGAGGGATTGGGGGCAGGAGAAGGGGATGACAGAGGATGAGATGGCTGGATGGCATCACTGACTCAATGGACATGAGTTTGAGTAAACTCCAGGAGCTGGTGACAGACAAGGGAAGCCTGGTGTGCTGCAATTCTTGGGGTCGCAAAGAGTCGGACACGACTGAGCAACTGAACTGAACTGAAGCTTAAGGTTAGTTACAAAAAAAATAGGAAAGTAATATGGGGAGATGGGGATTCCTTCAGAAACCTCAATGCTCAGGTAAGTATTTTATTAATCCTCTTAACAGTTTAGAGAAGAGAAAGAAAATGGAGACAGAGAGAAGTTACAGCAAGTCATCCAAGACTAAACAGCAGAACAGGAAAGAAAATACTACCAAGTTTAATACCCAGAACACAACATGATTCTTCCAACTTCAAAAATGCAGAAAGCTCTCTGGAAGATTACTAAGGTTCGTCTGAGGGAAAAGTTCAGGTCCTATACACAGAAAAGCCCAGGCATTTCATTTTGATGCAATCTCAGTGTCACAGTAAAAGGAAATGGTGGGTTATATTTGGTTTTTCTCACTGCCAGTAAAATAATGTCCTTGCTCTAAGTGCTAGTACTGATTCACTTCACAGCCAGGGATGTCCAGTCCCAACCCCCCAAAAAAGTATGTAAATATTAGCCACAGAGACAGAGAGAAAACTCTCTTACCCTCCCAGGGCAGTCAGTTTATGCTAATGTTTATGGGAGAAAAAAGAGAAAAAATGAAGTCAAGAAGAAAAGATATCTTTATCACTCACATCCCCAAGCAGATAAACACACTAAGAACCCTAGGGAATGCCAAATTTAGTTCTTTGCATCATTCCCAACTTGCATATCTCGTGCAGATGTATTTAAATACTGTTATCAATAACACCACTTCCTAGAATAAATATTTTTCATTTATGAATTTATGCCCATTTTGACCATGTGAAACCTGCAAATTAAACATACACCAGGAGACGAAGACGAAGGCAATACAGCAATCTCCAGCTAAGAAATTTGTAAAAAGAAAAAAAAAAATATATATATATATATACACACACACACACATACACACATATATAGGGAATAAAGAAAAAATCAACCTTTGATGAAATAATTGCTTCTGCTGTTATTTTTTGCTATTGCTTCAGAAATGTTCTCTCTCTCTCCCCCTTTCTTGTCCCTATAGCAAGGTGCCCTGCTGCTGTGCAGATGAAAGGTCCAGTCTCTTTAAAATTTCATGCAGAGCTCTTCACAGCATTGAAGCTTTAAAGGCCCATGGCAAATACAACATATTGTTAACACTTGATGGAAGGAGATAAAAATTACATGCAAAATATACTATATATTCATTGTCTGGAAATAGTACAAAGTTACAGGTTCCTGGTAATCAATGTGGACTTATATATTCTGATTTTAATATTTTAAAAAAACAAAAGATACATGTGGAGTGAGTATTGTAGCCAAAATAAGAATGAAAAGTCAAATCACCCATTGTTAGATTAGGATCTTAGGATGTGTGAATAATTTTATTTACAGTTTTCCTAAATTATTTTAGATATATGAAATGTATTTGTGTGTGTGTGTGTTAGTCGCTCAGTTGTGTCCAATTCTTTGCAACCCTATGGACTACAGTTCACCAGGCTCTTCTGTACATGGAATTTTCTAGGTAAAAATACTGGAGTGGGTTGCCATTCCCTTCTCCAGGGGAACTTCCTGACCCAGGGATTGAGCCCAGGTATCCTGCATTGCAGGCAGATTCTTT